TTGGAATGGCGGCAACTGTGTTCACTCCGTCTTTGGAAGGAATGAAAGATGTCAAGTCTGACCAGGGAGAGATGCTCGCAAAGCCTTTTCTGGATGTCTGCAAGAACATCTTGCCAGTTTTAGGTAGTTGATGATTCCATCTTATCCCTTTTTTTTTTTTGTAGAGAAAATTTTTTTATTGAATAATTTATGCAATTACTTTGTTAATTTGGTTGTTTAATTTATTAAAATCAACATTTTTTGCTCTAAGAATACTATTTTCGGAAGCATCTTATCTTCCCACTCTTAAAATATCCATGGAAAAGTTTCTGTATGATGTTCTTAGCTTCATGATACTTGGTGTGTTGGCTGTTATTCTACTTTCTCAACAATGAGTTAGGTGTGTATGGTTATTTTAAAAATATGTTTAATTCAATTTATTTTGTTCCATTTTAAAGGATACAATTGTTGCTTGAGAATCACCTGGGATGGCACAATAAACTGAAAATATGCAACACTATTTGGGATGAAATGCTGAATTATATTTTATTATTCGAAGATTTACATACATACCACTCAATTTCTATGTATTTGCATATCTATAACTTAACGCATATCTATAACTTTAACCTTCAACTTTTACATATATACCTCCTTACCTATACATGAAAAAGTGTATTTCGCTTTTAAAAGTTAAAATTGTGGTATTTTTGATGTGTTATGAAAGATGTGGGTGGTATTAATCCGAAAAATTAAAGTTCAGTTGTTATATATGTAAATACATAAGAATTCGGTTGTATGTTTGTGAATGCACCTTGTTTTAAAGCCATAATTTTTACTGAAACAATTCAAACCCTAAATTTATATTTAAAAAATAAACTTACCCAAACAATTCAAAACCCACCTTGCATCCAGTTGCAATCTAAATTTTTTATGAAATGATCTGGCTTGCTTCCTCTTGATTTTGATCATCATGCTTCCTTTTAATGTTCTATCTTTGTTAATGGAAACCTATTGATCCCCTCTTTGAAGTCAATGATACGATCTAACTATCAGCTCCATTGGTAAAATCACTGAAGAGATCAGGCCATTAAACCTTCACCAAACATGATCATCTAAATCATGATTTGATGTCCAAATTGTGAAAATTTATTTTTGTAATCTTCTTTGTCATGGATGAATACTTTAATCATCCCCTTTATTATATGATCCTTGGATCATGGGTCCCCAATTTAATAGGATTTCACTTCATTGAAATCATAATTCCGAGCATCCTAGCTATACCAATTATTGTGTTTGAGATTTGACTTTGTGAAATATTTTTAGGGGTTAAAAGGCCTATTTTTGAATGCTCTTTGGTTTATTGTGGAGTTTGGCTACCATTTCATCTTTAGGAGCCTCCTACAAATATTGCAAATCTTATGTTGGGTTTACTATTTGGTTTGACTTAGTTCTATAATAATGCTTCCCTTTCAGAGCCTTGCCAAGGTTGAAAAGTGGTTAATTTCTCTTACCATTTTATTTCTTTAATTGGAAAGAGATTGGTTTTTCAATCTCCTCTTGTAGTGGAGGCTTCTCCACTGTTGGCAGATTTTGCTCCGTTATTCTTTCTTTCAGAGACTTGTTTTTTTTTCTTTTCTTGGGGATGTCTTTGGGTAGAAGAAGTAAACTCTTATGAAATTAAATATGATCTTGATCACCTGATCACCTTCATTTTGTTGGAATCCAAATTTTGATACGTTGATATATTCATGTTTCAACAGCCGTGTGCTGGAGATATGTATGTTTTGCTTGATGGTCTTCTAATTGTAATCCTTATATTTCTTTGAAGAGTGATACAAACTCCTCAATTAACGAATATATCCATATTTCATCTTTTTGCCTATGTTAGAGAGGGCACAACATCTCCTTCATTAGGTACTACTAGCATTGATAGAAGATTTTGGCTTGCATTAGTAAGTCTTCACCTCTGTTTGTTATGTTAATCATTAGCATGTAGTCTTTTTTCAATATAAAGGTGTTTTATTTTTTTGTGAGCTGGCACTAATAAGCTTATTGATGCAGTACCACATATCTATCATATAGGTATGAGTTGCTGAAGATGACTTGGCATATGTCAAGTGGAACTATCTCACATATTATCTCATCAATGATTCCAACATTATGTAGCACTGTTGATCAATTATCATCATTGGTCTCTTTTGAATCCAGCCTAAAGTGTGAGTATTTTGTTGTGGTATATTGCCCAACTTTAATTTTTATACCAAATTGGCAGAAATGAGATTATTCTGGCTATTGGGAGCAATGTTGGCGCTAATTTGCTCATTTGATTATTTTCTCCAAACATAGAATTCCTCGTGTGTCGTTATTAGAGAATGCCCCGCTGCTATATTCTTAGATGTTGCCATCAGAGATGAAGATGGATTTACTCCACCTGTTGTTGATAGCGATTTTCTTTGACGGGGATCCTAATTATCAAATACGCTTAAATCTCGATGCAAATCATTTTGTTTAAGCTAAGATAAAATATAGGAAACGTAAAAAATTAATAAGATATAAAATCATTCGAAATAAATCTATCACTCGAAGTTCAGCGTTTAAATTCATTTATTATCTGATTAGATTGTCGAGGGTGATAGATTTAAATTAACTTAAGCTTATAAAAAAATCAATGTCATATTAAATGTACATCTACGATCACTCAAAAAATCTCCCACAAATAAGAACACGGTACGTGTTTTCTAACACTGTGATTTTGGCATCAAACATCACCATCAAGAATGATTACGATTGATGTCATCTAACCTTGTGGATCGCCGCAAAATGACATTGTTAAATTACTGTCACATCCAAAGCCTATAAGCTCTTCAATGATCCAAATCTCCTCCAAAGCCTATAAGCTCTTCAATGATCCAAATCTCCTGAGTGGTGAATTTTATAGTGGACTTGATAAGATATGAGATGCTTTGTTTTGCTAAGGTTATTTAGAAATTGTCCCATTAGACAAACATTTACCCACCATTATAAAATCTCTTTAGATGATGCAATCCATAGTTGTTGAAAAAGGTTTTTAGTTAAGTTGGATCAATTATCTTTTCTTACTAAGTTGATTATTGTCAAATTCCTTAAGTAGAATGAAACTATACTTTTAAACATCGAGGGTCTTTTGGTGTAACAGTTTAAATTTCATCAAAAACTTAAAGTTAAGTGTGCTCATGCTGGAGCACTCTTAGGATGGTGTCATCCAGGGAAGTTGCCATTAGTCCAAAATGGACAATATCTTGATGGGTGAGAGTTCAAGCTTTTATAAACGGTATCAGAGTATTACACCAAATTGAAGATGAGAACTAAGTATCATACATAATAAAGTGCTACGCAATGGGAGCCACCTCCTAAACCCTAGATGGGATAAAGTGCTACATGGGAGCCATCTCTTGAATCTGTAAGAGTTATCTCTAAAATTCTATATATATAGCTGATGATTCTGAATTAAGAAAATTCATGAGGGCGTCAATTACTTAAATGAGTAGATTATGAAATCCATTAAGTAGAATGAAATTATCTTAAATATCAAGGGGTCTTTTGGTTTAATGGTTAGAATTTCATCAAAAACTCTGAAGTTAAGCATGCCCTTGCGAGAGCACTCCTACGATGCGTGAACTCCTGAGAAGTAGCACCATTGAGGCAAAACTGTGAGGCCATTAAGCTGAAATGGACAATATTTTGATGGGAGAGTTTGGGCTATTACAATTATGATCCATGCCAATTCAAAATAACAAAAATATGAGATCTTACTGGGTTCGTCATCAGTCCTGCTATCATCTGCTCTAAGCTAAAGGTGGAATATTTCTCAATCTAAAATCAAAATTGCTACTATTATAAGATATGCACTTAGTACTAATAATTAATCTTGATTGAAAGTTTTCTCTTATCAATGGGATGGGTAATTAACCATAGGGCTTGTGCCTATGAAGGACATGGAATTAGATCTTAAAATTCTTGCAAATTGAGGTGAAATATTTGGGTATTGTTCTTTCTAAAATCTAATGCGCCTTTTAAAAGTGAAATCCAAAATTAAACTCTCTCAAAAGAACTGAACGTGAATTTTTGGGTCCCATATACATGATGCTTAATATGTCTTAGTTCTTTGATTTTCTTTCTAGTTTTATCTCATTTATATATTTTATTAACAACTTATTTAGTGTTTTTGATTTTGACAAAAAACAGACACATAAGAAATCTAGTTTGTAAATTAAATTCCATTGCTCGTTGTTTTTTATGTGTTTGCCAAATTTACTAGCCAAAGTCTTAGTGAATTTCTTGGACTATTTTATTCTTCTTTATTTTGTTGGATTTTAGTTCTAGTATTATTTGTTTACAAAAAGTAATTTGTTGAATTAGTTGATGAATTGTGATATGTGAATCCATATTTCATATGAAATCAAATTTTGCATTATATTAATTATTTTAGGAAATTCTAATATTGAGTAATCCTACATTATTAGATTGTTATTGAACTTATTTTTCCTTTGGTATTTTTTGTTTCTTATTTTATTTCGTTTACATAAATTTTTTTTAACTTGTTTAATGATCTTTATTTTAATAAAAAATTGGCAGAGCATAAATCTAATATGTGAAAAATAATTCAATTAATTGCTAATTTTATGTGATTTTTATTCTTGAATGATTTATATTTCTATAAATTTTCATTGATTTTATGTATTTATTGTCACTTGATTGAATTTTTATGATTATTTTGATCATTTCATTATTAGTTGGATTTTAATTCTAGTATTGTTAAATTTTATTTAAAGAAAGTATGATGTTGAATTAATTGGCGACTTATAATCTATGAATCATCACTTTTTTTTACATGAAGTAGTATTAATGTTGAATCCTTTTAGAACGTAGGGGCCTGTATCATTCGTGAGTACATACAACTGTACAAAAGACCTTGTATTGGAGAGATTGCTAGAGAGAGGGAGAGAGATTGATGAGCTTTAGGAAATATATTTATTTAGGATCTCCGGTATGCCAGAGGGAGGGCGGCTCTTTGGAGCTCCCCTAGTTACAGGATTTCCAAGAGAGAGAGAGAGAGAGAGTCTCCCCCTCGAAAACACTTTCTTCTTTCCCATTATATACATGAAAGAGAAAGACTATAAAATAATCAACTCTATACACTTTGCATTGCACGATGCCTTTCTTCTTTGTCTTGATAGAAAGATTGAGATGTTGATACTGGGTATTGTCATTACTACGACCTTTTATGGTATCGAGGTGAAAGGGTTGAGTCCCAAGTGTCGGGCGACGTCCTTAATGAGGGATTTGATGGATGCCTCTATTTTCAATTATCAGACGCCGTCTTTAAAGAAGGATTAACAGACGTCGTATCAGTTATGATGGTTTTTTTTTTTCTGATAATCGCCCTTACATAGATAATTTTAGTTATTCCTTTGAGGAAAATGAGAATCGATTGGATTGGATGGACTCAATTCAGCTGCTTCGGCAAATGAGCTTGATTGAAAAAGAATTTTACCGAAAATTCCAATATACTCGTATTTTTGTGTACAATTACCTATCACAATAATTGCATTACAAAACTGATCTCTACTCATTTTGCATCAAAATTGAATCAAAGTTGGGCATTTAATTGGGTTAATTCAAATTTCATTAGATTGAATCAGGAAGGTTATGGATCTAGACCCAATAGCATCATAATTATTATGAGGTTCAAAATTATGAATATTCAAAATGTTTCAGGGTAGCTCAATTATTTGGAATATACTTTTCTAAATTTATAATTTACTTGATCCCAAAAAGTTGAATGCTATTAATAATAATAGCAGGACATGTTCAATCATTTTGCTTAAAATTGTTACCTAGTTGCTTGGGCTGATATGAAACGTTGATTTAAAAGAGTAGTACTTGTTTTTTGGTCATTAAAACGATCAACTGAGTGATCAATTTAGTGATTTTAAACAAATAAATATTGTGTCCGAGTATTATGCAAAATTTATTGGTTTTTCATCAAACATTATTTGCCTTCAGATTATTTGATCAGTAATAATTGTTTCACGGAAGGTCTTAAGTGAGAAATTAGTGATGAAATAAAAGGTTTCACCAAAAATATTTTCTTGAGGTTTTCCACATAATATATGATGTAGAAGAATATTACAGCTACGCTTTTGTTAGGACTACCACATCTTTGCCAATTCCTCAGGAAAACTTAAAAACGCTCATATAAAGATTATGAAATTATATCAATGCAAGAATCAAGTCTTGAATTTAATCTTAATTGAGAAATTGCAGTTCAAGAAACTTTTTTAGAATATTTTAGATTGTGGAATGATTTGTAGTTATAATATGAATTTAAATTTTATCATGCAAATGTTTTGCAGTTTTAATATGAACTTAAATTTGAATATGCATCTGCAATATAGATTTTCTTCATAAGTTGAATCTTTTACGTGAGCAAGAGTTAAAATTTGATCCCAAAATTGAACTTATGCAAAAATTTTCTAATAGGAACTAAATCTACCTGTGAATGCAGAGATCACCATATATATTTGATGAATTGATGAATAAGTCAAGTAAATTGAAATTGTTTCTTTTAAGGAATTATCTGTTGATACTATTCATATGATGAATGATCAAATTGATGTTGTCTTTATATTTAGTTTTTTGATTTATTCATGTAACAATTCATAGAGAGAACCTTATAGATAGCGAGGTAACAACAATATTTGAAGGAATTCATTAATAATGAATACCTTAAGAAAAGCAAGAAATTTAAAATTTCGTCTATTTGGCCAATCCGAATGTTCATAATTCATCATAAACTTTATTTAAACTCTTTGGCTTAGCTTTCTTTAAGGAGGTTATTCATCCATACGAGTATATCATTATTATTGTGGTTTGTTTATGTTCATTTCATTAGTAAGCTGTTTTCTAGGAATTATTTTCTTGGTCATTATTATTTCTTAAAATGCATCTTAACTTAATATTTTAATTATTTGGCTCATTTTATGTTACGAATTTGCATGATTTGTCTAATTTTGTTTGAGTGCATATACAAAAATTGGCTGCTAATTTTGACAAGTTCAAGCTTTATATTAATGTGAATTGGGGGTATGTAGAATTTAAACTAAGTAATAAAGTTATGGTGAGTTTAAGGCTTCGTTTGGGGCAGCTTTAAAGTGCGGCGGCTTTTTGAAAATGCTGCCTTTCTGTTTGGTTCACGCGCTCCCTTAGCGTTTCTAAAACAGAGTATTTATTTCTTAATAAACGCCGGACTCAGGGTCAACCCCGCGTCCCGCGTTCGTTCGTGATTCATTACTCTGCTACCCTCGACCTCGACCTCGGAAGAAGGCGCGAACAGACGGATTTCTGATAGGAGCAGAGCACAATGATGAAGATGGGAGTTTTGGTGGTCTATGTAAGTCGCGATCCCGTCGTTCCCTTCCCAGGTAGCCGGGATCTCTTCGTTTTATTCCGAGGTAACAGCGATCCCGTTATTCCCTTCCCAGGTTAGCCGAGACCCCGTCGTTCTCTTCCTAGGTAGCAGCGATCCCGTTGTTCCACCTCTTCGAGCAATGCATCATTTTATATATCTCAGAGGTAGCAGCGATCCCGTCGTTCTCGTCCTACTCGCTCTATTCTTTTTCTTTTCTTTTTTTTCAATCATGTGAATATCCTTACACTGGATTTGGCTAAATTTCTTTTGGTTCCTTCTTCCCCTTTTTTGTTTTTTTTTCTCCCTGTATAAGTATTATTCTGCAGGCCACTTTATTTGGTAGTCTGTGCAATGGCGAAGGAACCATGAATTCAAATGAGGTATGAGTTTTTGAATGAACGATGAGTTATATTCTTAATAGATTTGAGTAAAATATCTTCAGTTTATACTTTTTTTTTTCAATTTGGTTAGGGTTTTATCTCATAAATTTTCTATTGATCACATTTATAATTGCTAATTGTTTGTATTTATCCAAAAATTATTTTCTGGCTTAAAGCTACACCAAATCTTATCCATAACATTTGCACAATGGCTAAACAACTAACAATTTATCCAAAATAGGGGCAGAATGATCATTTATCCAGAATCAGTTGTTTTCGAAATACAAAAACCAAACAACTAGTCAGCTTATCAGGATAAATTGTTTATCAACAGATTATCAGGATAAGCTGTTTATCTGGATAAACTGGATAAGCTGCAGCTGCTCCAAACAGACCCTAAATCCAGAAAGGCTTCCATCTAGGACTAAAAATTCAATGTAAGGATCAACATTTAAATTTTTTTATTATATTGGAACTAATGCCCAACAAATTGGAAATCCCATGGTCTTCTAGCTTAAATCTTATTTTGGTTGTGTTTGATTAGATCTTATTTTATGAGCCTAGTATCAATTATTTGGGTTTTACTTTCTTTTCACCTCATCCTTGTTAGTCCAGATCTAATAATCTTTTAGATATTATTACATACCTAGCTTATTCCTAATTTTATTCTAGATAATGAGATTCTATTCAATGCTGATGGCGGATTCCATAATATTAAAAGAGAAGTGGCTAGAAGACTAGATTTCTTTATTACCATGCGGAAACTTATATGCATACTGGCTAGAAAATATTTTGAAATTTACAAAGAATTAAAAAACTAAAGCTGTTGTCCATTACTTTTTATCTTTTCCGGGGGGAGGGAGTAATCTGTGGCATTTCCCTTTACGATTTTAAGCACATGAATTTGGGACACTCAGCTTTTCATAATAAGCACAGGAATCCATGGCATATATTTTAGTTTATTTGCACATGGATTCATGCTTTCTATTACTAATTATTTAGTAATCCTAATACTTTCAACACTCTCCCTCAAATTGGACGATATAAATTTACTATTTCAAGCTTACTAAAGTTATTTTTGAATGTTGGAGGGCAAAATCTTTTGCTAAATATGCTGGTGAGTCGATCTCGTTAATACACACAATGTGCAAATTAACCCCCTTTTTAATTTCTCTTTTATGAAATGCTATCCACCTCCATATTTATGGTTTGGTCATGTTGTATTCGATTGTGACCAATCTTAGCGGAAGATTTATTATCATAATATATCCTCATTGGTCCTTCCTATTTAATTTTCTTAAATACTTTATGATGATTTTAATCCATAGGAGTTTATAGATACTTCGAGTGATTGCTTTGAATTAGATTCAACACTTGAACTTTAGACTATAGGTTCTTTTCTTGTTTCTCTATGTCACCAGATTTTTTCCCAATAGTGTGCTATATTTTGAAGTCGATTTCTTATTTTTTTGGGTAATCCTACATACTCGGGTCGGCATAACTTTTAATTTGTAAGGTTTCATATTTTCTAAGAGAATATTTTTTACTGATTTAATCTGAGGTTCCCAAAAAATTTTTAAGCAACTTAAATTTTGGATTTATTTGATAATGTAACTCATAAGAATTATATTAAAAAAAAAAAGATATTAAACTTATAGAAAAAGGTATGTCAAAGAATTGTGCTGGATAGATAAATTACTTTTCAAATTAATTTTTTAAATTGTCCAGTATTAATTTCTATTTTTTCGCCATATATGAACTGGTTTTTACTTGATTTGTTTGGAGTTTCACATGGCTTTCAATTAGTCATTTTTATTTCTCTCAAAAGATTCATAACATATTTTTGTGAGAGTTTTTTTATTTACCGATTAACTTTTATGCTAAGGAAATGTTTGAGCTTGACAAATTTTCAATTTCAAACTTTTTGATGAATTTTTTCTGAGTATTTTTTTTAATTGTCATCACTTGTGACAAGTATATAAATATTAGCAATTCCATTTTTTAATAAATTAAAATTTTATCTTATAGATAATGATTGGAAAAATATGACTACTTTAGTGTTTAATTTGACAAATCATTTAGCTTTAGAAATATTAGGAGTTTGTTATGGTCTTTATATACAGAGTGAACGACCATGAAATGACTAAAGGGTGTACGAGATGGTATTTAACATCGTTTATGGTTTAGATGGGAAAAGTTTGAACATCTCCCACATCATGTGACAGGATAGTGGATTCGCAAGGGTCTCCGGGTGTTGTTCGAGAAATATTAATTAAACATTTGGGTGTTGGATGTGTAATATGAGCAATTCTGTGAGGTATTCTACAATATTGCTTGAGCAGATTCACACCTTTAGAAGTTATTAGATAAAATAATATGTTTATTTGATTTTTTTCTCGTGGTATTCGTTTACTACTTTTCTTGCATGCAATTTCTGGCACCGGACTATCACCCTTCACAAGTATTGATAAACAGGTTGGAACACGTGTTTGTTCTCTTTTACTGGTCATGATGAGGCTTGGGCACTACTGATTGTGCTTTTTTTCAGGAAGATTTACATACATGCCACTCAATTCTTATCTATTTACATATCTAACACCTAAATTTTAATTTTACATATATGCCACTTTACCTATGCATGAAAAGGTGTATTCTACTTTTAAAATGTTAAAATAGTAGTGTTTTTTATGTGATATGAAGGATTTACGTGTTATGAATGTAAAAAAGCAAAATTTAGGTAAATACATAGAATTGGGTGGTTTTTATGTAAATGCCTCTTTTTTATAATACATTGCTATGTTTCTTAATTGGGGTTTTGCGTATGGCAGATTGTATGTTTATAATACTCTTTTCTTATGACGACCATTGAGTTTATTATTGTTGATAAGTTTGACCATCCCTTCTCAAGTACATTGTTCATTTGGTAATTTTGTAATGTGATCTACAGATAAATTTGGAGCAGCAATGGCACTTGTTAAATCGGATATAGGGGGCAACATAACAGTAAGTAGTTGTCATTAAATTGATTCCTTGTAAATTCAGGAGGAATTACTTAAAATGATTGCCATATTTCCTTCAGCTTCTCATATTTCTTCTTAATTTTGTTATTTTAAGGACACAAGGTTGAAATAAAAAAAAAACATGGGCAGACTTGAATTTTACATTGTTGAGTCAGTCAACATTATTATTATTACTTGCTACAACAACACTGTTTTTTGTGCTCAACTCACATCAAATTGGTTGGAAACAAAGTGAATAATTCCAAACGGTTGGGTTCGAGCGCATAACACCTTTCTCACCCACCCAAAAAAAAAAAAAAAAAACCCCCTATTATTATAGTTGGATAATATATGGTATAAGTTTTGCTGAACTTTCTCTTGCAGAGACTTGAAAACAGATATAACGATGATCCCTCAAAATTCAAATATCTCTACACTTTTGTCCAAGTAGAAATAGAGACTAAAACAGCAAAGTCTTCATCAAGCTGCACTAATGGCCTTCTGTGGCTTACAAGGTTCATCACAATTTTTTTCTTTATTTATTTTTTTTATTTTGCTTTACATAATTTAATCTTCCTTAAGCTATCAAAACATTTCTCATGTTTTTCTCTTACTCGTTTGATCTCTATAGGATAATAATGTCTAAATTTGTTTGTGTATATGCCCCTTTGTATAGAGCAATGGATTTCTTAGTGGAACTATTTCGTAACTTATTGGAGCATCCTGACTGGACCATGTCACAAGCCTGTTCTGATTCATATAACAAGACTCTCAAAAAATGGCACGGTTGGCTTGCAAGTTCAAGCTTTACGGTAACTCCGGCGTTCTTTTTTAAATTAAATTAGCTATAAAATTAAGGAAAATTTGCTTACATGCTACTTAATTGCTATGTATTTACATCTTCAATTTTTACATATATGCCATCTTACTTATGCATGAAATAGTGTATTTTACTTTTTAAAAGTTAAAATAGTGATATTTTTTTATGTGATATTAAAGATTTGAGTGATATATTTGAGTGATATATCACTCAAATCTTTAATATCACATAAAAAAATATCACTATTTTAACTTTTAAAAAGTAAAATACACTATTTCATGCATAAGTAAGATGGCATATATGTAAAAATTGAAGATGTAAATACATAGCAATTAAGTAGCATGTAAGCAAATTTTCCTTAATTTTATAGCTAATTTAATCCTCGGTCATTCTCAACGCGCCTAATAATTTGAGTATCACACCCTTCACCAGGGGGAATCGAACCCCAGACAAGAGGGGACTTACAACTGACAAACATATGCCCATTTATATATATATCTATATATATATATATAATGCATCTACTCGCAATTTTGTTATGATTAACAAACCTAAAACATAATACAAATGGTTGTGTGTTTACAGTAAAGAATATTGTTAAGGTGATGCTTGGACTTCCCTTGACTACCACTGGTCCACAAGACATAGTTAACCTTAAGTTATATGGGTTTCCGGGTTTGAAGGAGGCAAATTTTGCTCCAATGTTTGAGATTTGCCAATAATAATGATAATTAACTTAACAACATTGAAATCTAATTTGAATACATATTTGATATCTTTTTTTTTAACCATTTAAAAGCTAGAAATATTTTAGATATAAGTTGTGGCTTGGCTTCTGAAAACATTATTCCAACAATTTTATGTGGTCATTGGCCATCTCGAGTAAAGTAAAAATTGGCTATTCTCATTTTCCACATACGTTGAAGTATAGTTGTGAGTATGCATTGTTCTGAGAGCAAGGCTTCAAAGCTCCTTCAAAAGTCCCGTCGCATAACGGGATTGAGGATCTCCATTCTAAGACTTTCAATTTTTCACATTCTTCCTAAGGACATTCTGAGACATTTCGAAAATAGACGGTCACCAAATAAATATTTTACGGACGCGGCGTTTAGTGTGATTGAACGGAGTAGGATAATCACTCTCAAACGAAGCCTAAGTACAAAATCAGCTATTTACATAAAACCTGCTTTCATCCATTTTTCAAATTCTTTACACAAATCACGATAAAACCAGAACCCATATTTTTTCATTTTTTTTCAAATTTCCAATGACTCGATAATGTCAAGCTAAATGCATTGATTTGGTAGTTCAAAAAAATTATTTGGGCGCTAGTTTTGTAAATAAAAATGTTTCAAATGTCGTGTAAATATCCCTTTAAAAAAAAGAGACAAGTCAAATAGTCATTATACCATTTATATGTGGCCATTTTAATCCCAGTTATTTGATGTGCTCAAATTAGGCTCTTGAAACTTCAAATGCGATCCAAAATAGTCCATCTTTTGGATTATTTGGGATCAGATTTAAATAGTTAGGTTATTATTTTATCTCAAAGTTGAGGAGTCAAGGGATCTCGTTGGCACAATAAATAGTCTGAACTAAAATGTAAAACCTGGATATTCCTGTGCCTAAATGTAAATTGTATCAGCTTTTCTGTTGGCTTTCATTGAAGAATAAACACATTTTATTCTAAAATTTACAGGTAGCCATGAAGCTCGCTCCTGATAGGAAGAAGTTCATGGAGGTTATTGGAGGTAGTGGTGACCTCAATTCTGATATGGAAAAATTCTGCTCAACTTTTGCTCCTCTTCTCGCAGAAATACACAAGTTTCTAGTAACATTCTTCAACTTTATCTGTGAATTAACAGATAAATCTGTTTTCTGAATAAATAACAATGGTTTTCTTTATCTGCAGGCTAGTTGTGGATTTGATGACATGAAGGCTTCTTGATTACAGAACTTATATGGATGTAGCTCTAATAAAACTTTTGAGATAGCGTAAGCCAAATTTCGCTTTTATGGAGGTATGGCTTGTCGCTAAACTTGTGAGAAACTACATATTATATTTTTTTTTACCTGCAAATGATGCAATAAGCAGCTATCTAGCTAGCTACCTCTGTTGTTTGCCTGACCCAGGGGATTTAAGCTAAATTTTAAAGTGGTTTAGGACTAAAATTTGGGTTTTGTTATTGGGGCATTTACATACATACCACAGAATTGTTATGTATTAACACATGGAACACCTAAACATTCACGCTTACATGCATACCATTCAAATCTCTAACATCACATCTAAAATATCATCATCATCATCTTTGTAAAACTGAAATACACTTTTTTTTTACATGTGATTATGATACCAAGGTATTATAAATGTAAAACTATGTAAATACATAAGAATTGTGTGCTATGTATGTAAATTTCCCTATGTTATTTCTTCTAAATTAAAAATATTCTTATTTTGTTGGCGTTAAAAAATATGCTGTAAATATATTATTTATGATTTAAAACTATGGAAACTGCTGCAGGAACATATAGTTGTTGATGGCATTGATTATAGTGGTTTGTTTCTTTGGTAATTAGACTTAATTTTGCCTGAATTCTCTTGTAGATTGACATCAATTATGACTGGCCTATTTGCAATGAATACTGAATAATGTTATTCTATGTAGAGATCCCACTGAAACTATTTACGGAATAAGCATTATTGAATAATGTTATTCTATGGAATATTGAGTAATGTTATTCTATATGGAGATTCCACTGAAACTGTTTATGGAATAAGCACTGAGATGCGGATTAGGAGTATGCTCAAATTTATAAACTCAACAAAACTATCCTTCTGTTCAGTTTGATATTTTTGCAAGCTTTTTGTTGGAATTGGCTTCTGTAATTGTGTAGATCTTTTGTATTTGTTATGGATACCTTATATGGCTCTATTATTTGTAGTTTGTATGGCAGACATTTTGTATTTTTTTCGGGCTTTCTTAGGCTTTTGAAATTTATGTTGTAAAATTCTTCATTTTATTTTCAACGAATGTATTATGCATTTTGGGCACAGTCATTTTACTTATAACTAATATACAGGATTTACATACATACATACCACTCAATTCTTATGTACTTACATACCTAACGCCTAAATTTTATTTCTTACTTACATATCACCTTTCCTTACGCCTAAATTTTATTTCTTACTTACATATCACCTTAGCTATGCAAGAAAATGTGTATTTTACTTCTTTTTTTTAAGTTAAAATGTGATATTTTTTGATATGATGTGAAATATTTTCTTATTTATTTTTGATATGAAAGATTTAGGTGGTTGGTTCCAGAGTTAACCCAAGCAACGACTCAAAAATATGAATATTATTGCTGACCTAGTTGAGCATGTAATGAAGCTCAAAAATAAAGAAAAACAACCGCGCAAAGTAAAGGTGGAAGACGGCCGTAAACAAGTGACAAAATAATGACGATAACAACGATTCCAATGAGTAGGAGCTCTGGAGTGGAAGAGTAGGGTTTGCGTGGCTGTGGTGAAGGCATGGCGGTGGAAAGGCTGAGGGGGGGGGGAAATATATTGTTGTAGTTGAAGGAAGAGGAAGGTGGGGCAGCAAGGTAGCAATTGTGGAGGCGGCGAACCATAGTGGGAGGGAGTTGCGAACGTTGTCGGCTGTTGGAATATGACTGGGCAGTGAATGGAGGCCTGCAGGAGGCAGGGAAGGTCACGGTGGCCTATAGGGGCAGGGAGCAGAGAGGCGGCTTGCTGGGGTAGGGAGCAGATGGTGGTTTGCTAGAGGCAGAACGTTGGGCCTGCGACCTGTTGGGAGGTGTGACAACCTGCGGGAGGCATAGAGGAGGGGTTGTGCGGCCTGATAGGACGAGGCCGACAGCTTGCTGAAACAAGGAGGAGGGGTTGCTCCCTGCTGGGAGGAGGTTGGCAGCCTGCTGAAGCGGGGAGGAGGGTGGCAGCCTGCTGGAGTAGGGAGGAGCGGTTGCAATTTGCTAGGAGGAGGGCGGTAGATTGTTGGAGCAGTTAGTGAGGAGGGGCTGCCGCCCAGGCTGAGACTAAGTAGAGTGGAGAAGGGTTAGGGAAGATACATCACTTCCATCTCTTCGGATGCAACCTTACAGAAGGAAAAATGTTTTCACACAGAAAATCTGAGAGCAACGCAACAATAACTAAAAAAAACTTGAAGCATAACACTCCTTATTAATAATTAAAAACTAGGAATTATTTTTGGCAATGGTTAAAATAATAAAGAAGAATAAAAACAATAAGAATTTAGGTTTAGGCAAGGATGAATAAACTAATATCATTTCAGATTAGGCAAAGATGAGTATAATAAATCAGAATTTTAAATTGGCAAGGACTTTTTAATAAGAAAACACCATGAAGGAAAGCAAGAGAGGGAGAGAAACGAAAGGGGGAGCTGTAGGTCCCCCCCCCCCCCCCCCCCAACAGAAAAAAAAAGGTCGGGCCAACAAAGCTAAACTGAAATCTTCAGGTTGGTTCTCCATGGCAGTTGCATTAGTCTCCTGGGGTTAGGGGAGCTTTGACCTCAATGGTTGAAGCTTATAGTTCTTCGTCTGTAATCCTAGCAGCATCAGGATCCCACTGCCTACTACATTGCCCACCAAGGAACCTGAGGTTCTTCTTCAATTTGCTAGAAAATGTCTATATGGATTTGTCTTCCTGAGGTTGTAGACCATGCCTATACTGCTGAATCTTCCCAAAGTAATCCATGATCGATTCAATCGCGCATGTAGTGGAGTAATCTAAGCCTTTCCGCACGACGGTGACGCCTATGGTACAGTGTCGACCTGACATACCCTTGGTCGTATCTAACCTGTATTTGGAACCAGTGTTTAAGTCCTGTTGTCCGATGTCATTACTAAAACTGGTCCCTCTAATGCCAATCTTCTAGTAAGGGCTCCAGTGGTCTTAGGTTCCGCCAAGTGAAGTAGGATGATATGCTTCCTATCTTTGGTGAAGGAATATGTGTTCCTGAATCTATCGTGCTTAGTCCTTTGGTCAAATTATCGCGACCATTCCAACAGAAGGTGACAGACATCCATAGGGACCACGTCACACCATGCCTTCTCATGTAACTGTCCTCTTAGTGAAAGTTCTACTAAGCAACTCCGGTCGATGCTAACCTGATTCTCCTTCTTAAGCCATCTCAGTGAGTACGATTGGGAATGCCTCTGTATTTTAAGTTCCAATTTATCTACTATTTGAGTCGATGCCACATTCTTGCTGCTACCGCCATTGATGATAAGACTACATACCTTTCTATTCACTGTGGGGTAGAGAAAATATTGTGGCGAAGCCACTATGGATCCCTTGTGTCCTTAGCCTACAGAATCCGTTGAATCACAAGTGCTTTTCCTCATCTGGTGGAAGTTGATATACGTCGCTCTGTTTCTCCGCTCTCCCCTTGTTGTTAATCTCTTCCACACACTCTGATATGTGAGTATGACTATCCTACTAGTGCGAAAATTGAAGGCTATGTGGTCTTAGTCGGGTTGAGGCAAATGTTATACTGATGAAGTCAGAAAAACTTCCAAATGAGAGATTTGTTGAGATGCTTCTAAGCTTTTTACCAACATATCATCAACCTACACCTGCATCATTTGTCTGAGAAGGTCTTTGAAGACCTTATTCATGAGGCATTGATAGGTTGCACCGATGGCAACCTGAATTGTATAACTTGGTAGCAGTACAAATCCTTATTTTTCTTAAAGGAGGTGGCTTCTTCGTCTCTCGGATTCATCTTTATCTAGTTGCACGCCGAGTATGCATCCATGAAATTGAACATCTGATGCCCGGAAGTGGCATCGATGAGTTGATCTATGCACCGGAGGGGGAACATGTCTTTTGGACAACCCTTATTGAGGCACAATTTACTTGATCTATGTGCCGGAGTAGAACGAGATATCAACAAAGCTCCCATTATCGATGAAGATCATCTTACGTTGTAGCAAGGTTCGTCAATTCCAACGCTAATGACGAGAGGGTCTTGGTGGGGGACTTGGAATCCTTCCAAATTGGAATAATCAAAAGCGATAGGCTCGATGCACAATTTACTCTGCGCTGGTTCACCAGATGCAGTGATAAGGACTTGATCGGTCAACAACCGGTCTCCAACAATTGCCTGAATTTCGCCCACGATTGGGTGACCCCCATGTTGTTGCTTTTAAGTATGTTGTCCTCAATTGTGAGCATTATTGGTACCAGCTAGTTTGTTTTGACAAGTCGACAAAGATCCCTGTCAAATCAACCTTTTAATCTTTTCATTGAGCTGCTTACACGCCTTAGAGGTGTGGCCACAACTTTGATGGAAACGTCAGTATTGGTCCTAATTCCCCGAGTCAGGTTTTATGGGGTAAGACCACTTAATAGTTTCCTCATCTTTGATGGTCACTGGAAATTAACATGCGTCATGTTGAGTTGTGTATACTTTTCTTAGGTCGATGCTCACTTCGTTGGCTAGCAGGTTGGAGAGAGAGATAATTATTCCTCTGTTGTTCAGACTTTTTTCGTTGTGAAGATTTATTATAATATCCGACATTACTCTTGTGTTTGCCCTCAAATTGCTCGAACTGCTCCTTATGTGCGTCGATGGCCTCATCCGCAGTGATTTGGGCCTCAACACGGTGGACAAGGTTAGTATAAGAACTAACTGTCTCTCGCATCAGTGATGACTAGACGGGTCCTGGACAAAACCCCCCAATGAACAGTCCTCTCAGTAACTCTAGATCTACTCCTAGAATTTGACAGGCTTCTGTGGAAAACTTGTGGAAGTAATCCTTGAGTGACTCTCCTTCAATTTGACGAACTTTCGAGAGATGGGATGAATCCTTGATGATCTGTCGGCTGATCATGAACTGCTCCGCAAATAGTCTCGGAAGCTCGTTAAAGATGTTTACAGTGCCCTCTGACAGAGAGTAGAACAATGTGCGAGCTTATCCTTTAAGAGTGTTCTGGAACACTTGACACAGAAGCGCATGAGAGACACGTTGAATGTGCATGATGGTTCAATAGTAATCAATATGATCAATATGCTCATAGGGGTCAGTTATTCCTTCGTAGGTGTCGTTGTTCGGAAGCTTAAAGCCTGTTGGGTTGGGGTGTTGGAGGACCGCATCCACTAAGGGAGAAGATTCATGGATGTTTTGGTGAGTTGGGAAGTGAGCCTTTTTCTCTAGAGTGGACTCTTCTCGAACGAGGCGTCATAACTCGTTACAAATGACATCATCTGAAATGGCAGCAGGGCGTGGCCGTGTTAGGTGAGCTGTGCGAGATGGATGAGTAGAACTTGCGGTATCTAGGAATTCAACATCACAACCTGGCAGGGGAAGTGTTCCTTCTTGGGGAAGGGGGGCTGATATGAGTTCTTTTGAGCAGTGTGTTTCCCATAGGTCACTGAGTTAGTGTAGTGGTAAACGAACTCCAACCAATGGTGTGGGCAGCGGCTGTTGAGCCCCTCGCAGGAGCTGTAAGATCTCTAATTGAGACTTCTCTAATCTGCGGATTCGGTCTTCCACAGAAGAACTTGACACTCCTTCGTTGGCAAGATAATGTTTCTCACGGATGGAAGATGAAGAGGCATGTTGGCTTTGGCTTCGTGACTGCTCCCTGGAATGATGGGTGTTGGAGTGGGATGATTTGTGTAACGAATATTATGTCTGGTGGCCATGTAGTAAAGTTCATAAGTACTTCAGTGGTGAGATTAAAGTTTCCCACAGACGACGCCAAATTGATGTGTGCTAGAAAATTCATGGTCGTAGAGAAGCAGATTATCGTCTTAGCGTGATATAAAGATTCAACACGTACTCTGAAAAGAGAAAATTAATAATGACATCATAAATTTTTATGTAGAAAACCCAGAAAGGGAAAAACCATGGGGCTTGACCCAGCTAATAAGTTTTATTATAAAAAGATGATTGTAGTTGCAACCACTGGTCTAACGG